GTATTTCTCTGGGGTAAGATTATGTTCTCTGAGCAAAAACTAACAAGATTTATTCTGCCCAGGGATTTCTGATAGTGTCTTTCCTTGACCTTTCTTTTGATTTCTATGTACATCAGCAGCATCAAAGGCCAGGAGCCCTCTCTTGTTCCTTGTGTGGTTCTGAGTGCTCAGCCCTCATCTTATTCATGGCAGTGACTACTCATTGTTACAGGTCAATCATCCCTAAGAACAACAACAAAATCTCATTCAAAGCTGATGGATCAGACACTGTAGGAGCAGAAATCTATCCTGACCTTGTAGCAGACTTGTATGCTGCACAGCTAATGACAGCAAACTTCACAATGTAGGTGAACAGGGTAATGCAGTCCTTAGCTCAGAACTGTAGGATTCCTCACTGTGGTGCTGTTTGGAACAGCTGCTTCTTGTCTTCATTTATGCTGTCAAAATGGGGTTATCAAAGACTGTTTTTACACACACACTGAAGTGTCTGTGTTGGGTCTGACTGGGGGAGAAGAGTAGACACAGCCAGATAAACAAAACAGACCAAGGGGTCAGTTTTGATGCCAAAAAGCATGATGTTCAGCAATAAAAACTGCATTAGAAGAAAAAGGGGGTGTCGACTTGGGGTATCTAAGGTGACTTGCTTGCTGGCTGGGCACTGATCTGCCTGTTGGAGCTGCTGTGTTGACCTTTGCATCATTTATTTTTTTGCCCTCTGTCACTTATTAAATGGTCTTTGTCTTGACACATGAGTTTTGGTACTTGTTCTTCCCATTCTCTCTCTTCTGACCCTTTGTGGGGAGAGAGGAAGTAGCTGCAAGCTTAGGTTACATTTTGATTAATTTTTAAGAAATATTCTGAAAGAAAACTAATCAGAAGTGGTTACTATCACAGATCTAATCACTTTTCCACTACAAGGTGAATTTATTTGATCTCAATTTCTCTAGTATAATGAATACTATACCACGTTTCCTTTCTTTCTATAATGCAAAGGAGAGCATAATACTTTTTCTTACAAAACAAGAAATGCTTTGTGCCTGTTACAGACATAATGCCAGAAGACAAGATGATCCTGTAAATAATAAAGGATTTGTACTCACCACAGTATGATTTTGTGATCTACCTTAAGTATTGTGAGGTATCTCTATGAGACACATGCTCACCTCTGCCTTTGTACTCGGGCACAGTTACAGGACTTGTATTCAGGTCTGCAGAAATATCAGATATTAAATATTCTACTACCTAATGCATGGGAGTTGGGGAGGAAAATATGCTTAAAGTTTTAGTCCTTTCATTTATCACTACTCTTCTGTGATAAGAGCTGAGAATTAACTCAATGTTTACTAGACACGTTATATAAGAGAACAGTGCAAAACACTGTATGCAAAATAAGATTTGTAGTGTAGGCGTTTGTGATACAATATCACACAATTTCCAGTAACAGAGCTACACAGAAAATTAATGAATGCTGATTAATTTTTTTTTTCTAACATCATTCTCTGAACACCAGTTTTGGCTTCCCAAGTAAATAATAACAGCTGTGAGTCTGTCTGGGAGCCCAGTTGGCTTGGATGAGATTGTTAGATGCCAAAATGAAGGGTATGTTTTGTTCCCAGTGATCTTGGGTCTTTTCTTTGCTCTTTGCCAGTTGCTAATAGGGAAAAAGCTGAAAATGTGGAATGATTTTGGATCTAATACAATGCTATGTTTCAATCATGTTTTTCTGGTAAGAAGAGAGACAATTTCTCCTCTCTGCCCTAAGATCTCTGATAAGTTATTCTCTTAAAATGCAGGGGAGAGTTTAATTGTAAACAGTTTCACGGGAAAAGAAGCATTTCAGTGGAATTCCTCTGAAAAAATGATGTTGCAATATATTTACTCAAAATGTGCTTCAAATTAAGGTTGTATCAATATTAATCAATATGACTAAGTCAACTTCGGTAGTTCACTCACACTGTCTCCCAAAAGGTCGATTAGATTCATCTAGCCAAGTATCCAACTCAGCTGGCTCCTTAGTGCCGTAGTCTTACCTTCTGGTTGAGCTACAGAAGGATATGATGTGGAATGAAAATAAAGGTAGTTAGTATTGGAAATTTCTGTGAAATTGAACTTCCATTTCTTCAGTCACTCATGGATTTCCCTCTGATCACGTTCTGAGAGAGTGAATAAGTTGATCAAATTACATAGCTGAATCTCAAGCAGTGAAAAAAACGAAGTGAAAATCAGCAGATTGAAAATAAGGTACCAGAACTGAGTCTGTTCTTCCATGCAGGATTTCCAATTCCTTGAAACTTCAGATGCCGAATTGTGCTCTGACTTCTAAGTACAGCTATTTGCTTGTTTCTTTCAATGACAAGACTAGAGTGAGCTGCTTCCCAATGTGATCCTTGCTCCTGTCCTACTGTCTTATTTATATACGGTGAACTGGAAGGGGAAATTAATGGCTGATAAGTAAAACACTCATGAAAAAAGGGCTATTTTTAACATGTCTCTTTTCCATGTTTAACACACCATTCCACAATCCATTGTAGTTGTGAAGCTGAAGCAGTAATACTGGAGCAGTAACTGATAGGGCTTTTCAAAGCAATGTAAGTCTAAACATATGACTTTTTTTTTTTCCTGTCATGATGATCTGGGTACCAGCGCTTGTGAGGCTGCTTAACCTTTCTGAAACAGTCCTTGAGGGCTGTGAGCTATTTAATAAGATGTTAGTGTGAAAGTTACAAGTGCAAATTGCTTCATCATTTCTTATCCCAGTAGAAGCAGCCAGCATAAACTATCCCCTGATCTAAGCATTTGGAAATCACATTAAATGTTCCACATAATTATTAAAAATTTCCTAGGTATCTGTTCCCTTACTCTACTTCTATCCACATTTCTCATACACAACTTTCTTTTTTGGAGAAAAAAAAAAAAGGAAAAAGAGAAAAGACATCTCAGTAGTTTGCTTTCCATATCTTTAGTAAAAAAGATGTTAATATTGTTGACATTGGTTTCTCTACTAAGCATGTTTTTGGACAAATATTATGGTTGAATAGATATTGTTCCACCCTGAATTTACAGAAATAAATAATAACCCCATGAGATGTTTTTAACGCCTTCATTTTCTGTTGCTTGATACAGTATTTTGCCTTTGTTTAGTTTTGGCAGCTTCTCTGTAGGTTTTGTTTTTCCTACTGTTTGATACAATTATTGAAATGTCTCTAAGACTGCATATTTCAAACTACCAGCAACATCCTGGCACCAAGTAAAAGATGGAGAAAGAAGCTAAGCTAGTTCCTTTCTGCCTCTACTAACTTGAAGCTATACAATCCCCACAAGCTCACCAGACATATGAGTGGACATCCAGAAAACATATGAATATGTCACTAGTTAGCTCATTGTTATGACGGCATATTTCTTATTAAAAATGTAGAAGCTCTTTTTAATCAACTACTCTTAATCAACTGCTCCCTCTTTTGACATCTCTAAACAATTTGAGCATGGCTTTCAGCACTAAGAAGTTGTTCTGCAGTGATCTGAGCCTTGTCTACATTTAGCAATAGCAGAATGAATATCTGGAGTGAAGACAAAGCATGCTTGTAAAAGGATTTTGCACGGAATATGAAAAATGAAGTTCCCCATCATTCTAGGTATTCCACTAGCTCAAGCAATTTTCTCAACTTTTATTCATAACTCCCATTAGCTTTCTATATCAAGACTTTGGCTATAATTCAAGAACCTGCCTTTACTTCATATACCCACATGATATTTTTTTGTTTTTCCATTACTGTGGTCTCATCCCCCACAGGACTGCTGCTTTCAGAAGCCTGAGCTGTTCTTAGCTGCTACCGTTTTGTTATAGGGTTGTTTGGGTTAACAACCACTTATTGCTAATATAAATCTAGCTTGTGGTGTAGCTTCATTGCTGAGCACCTGGCTTGGAACAAGGGTTTTATATGCTAGACCACAAGCAGCTGTCTTGGTTTAAATAGATGTTTTACATGCTAATTCACAGATCCTGAAATTTGCTTTACCACATTTGCTAAACTATAATGCAAGTGGTTAGAACTGTGGATGTAGTTTGTCTCTAAATCTAGAAATAGTCTTTCATTTTAATGGTGTAATTTTCAATAATCTCTATTTATGAAAACCAACTAAACAAACACTGGTGTTCTATGATCAGACATCCCACTTCCATTGATCTTCATGATCTGGTCAGAATCTGTTTTTTATACACAAGTTGGAGAGAAGCCTGATTTCTTTTTGCACAGTTTACTTTTCTTCCACCACCCAGAATATGATTTGAGAATGAGACAGCCTTTCCTATTTTCAGAGCAAATTTATTTAAACAAATGCAGACATTTTCTGCTGCTTAATTCCTTAATAAATGATTTGGCTTTATTACTGCTATTTAGTAAAGGATGTGCAATGACCAACACAAATACTACTCTTTAATGTGATTTATTTTGTATATGCTTAGATTTTTTTTCACCTAGATTTTCTTTTTAGCTAATTCAAATGAGTAGTTCTATAAATTCTGCCATCACCAACACAATCATAACAATTAAAACCTTTATTTGAGAATACTGGAGGGCTGCGAAAGACTTTCATATTTTTTTCTAGGTTACACAGTACTGAAAGAATATTAAATTTCAAACAGCAAATCCTACAGAAGGAGCAAAGTAGTCATATGGCTTTAAAAGTAATCTTTAAATTGAATTTTGAGGAAGGTTTTAAAAGTAATCTTTAAATTGAATTTTGAGGAAGCAGGAAGATAGCTATTTTTCTAGCTTTCAATGTGGACAGCTGGAGAGGGTACACTGGTGTAATGGAAGTGTTAGGTCACAGCTTGAACTGGTGATTGAGCAACTGGTGAAGGGGTGTGGATGGCCCAGGAGCACAGGTAAACTGTTTGCACCTGTGCTCCTCAGATGACCAGAAGGGATGGACACAGGGTGGAACCACACTGGGCTCACATAAGGGCCAGCCACTAAGGAGAGAGTATTTCCTGAGCCTAGGCAGCTCCCTGAGAGGGGATGCTGCAGGGCTTGTGAGCACTTCTAACCAGGTGGGTGAGTTTTTCTGTATATGATTGGTCTATCTGTGAATACTTTACCTGGTATCACTAAGAAGCTACCAGAAGTAGTTCAGCTTCTTCATAAGCAGAACAGCTGATAAGACTCAAATTCTGAGAGCATTTTTGAGCAACAGAACCGGCCAGCATAACTTTATAACTTGACAGTGCATAGCATTGCTGGTCAAACTTCTCTTCCATGGGGAAATGACTGGCTCTGTGAATAAAGAAAAAACAGTGAATTTATCTTATGCTGACTTTGGCAGGGCTTTCAAAAATCCTCTGGTATGGTAACCTTATAGACAAGCTGCAGGGAGACTGTGTAGATGGATGTGTGTTAAGACTGATGAAAAATTAACTGGGTTAGAAGGCTCAAAATATAGTTTTTGGCTTGCAGCCCAGTTGTGGCTTGTGACAAATTCCTTCCCCCAGAATTCTGGAGTAGGCAAAGCGGATCTCCACTTATGACCTGAATGATGAGATGTATACAGTGAGCTTGCAGGTTATACCAAATTGAAGGGAGCAGGCAATATGCTGGCAGAAGCATCTGCCTGTCAGAGGAACTTTGTCAGTCTTAAGGAACAGGCTAGGAGAAATCATGGGAAGGTCAGCAATGATAAAAGGGAGTTCAAACTTGTGGGATAAAATAATTGCATGTGGCAGTAAAGGCTGGGCCCTGGCTGATGCAGCAGCCCTAGAGAAACTACCCTGTGATTCTGGTTGAGAACAAGTTAGGTGAGGTTACAGTACCCCTGTGTTACTGATATAAATGCATCAGCAAGAGTCTATTGAAAGGTCAAGAGAATGATGATTCCCTTCCAGTAAGCATCTCAGAGTGAGTTTGACCTATCATGTCTTTGTCTGGACCCTCTCACTTTCCAGTGTGAAAGAAAGATCAAGAAACTGGAGGACATCCAGCAGAAAGGCTCTGAGATGGTTAGGGGACTTTAGTATAAAATATGAGGAGGTACTAGAGAAAGTAGCTTAGTTCAGCATGGAAAAGAAGAGATTAACAATGAAGGAAAAAAGCTCTGTAGACCCCTTTTGTGTGTAAAAGTAGGCTATAAAAGACTTACTCAAGCTTCTCTGCAAGGTCTATACAATGAGAAACAAAAGGAATAAGCTGCAGCAAGGGAAATGTTGACTGTTTAAAATAAATATCAAAACTAGAGTGGTTAAGATCTGAGATGTACTGACCAAAGGTGTTTTGAAATCCATCCTTGAAGGCTTCAGACATTGACAAGACAAGGCCTTGAGCAACCTTGTACAACACTAAAATGGATCCTGTAAGAGGTAGGCTAGGGAAGTGGGAACTGTTTGGTCTCCTGAAATCCCTTCTAAGCTAAGTTATCCTGTAAATCTATGATCAGTTTAAGCAGAGATGACTTCTGTTTTATCCCAGGAGAATAATAAATGGCTACACACAGTCAAACTGATAAGGTCAATGAAAGCAATAAGTGCCTTCTCAGAACTACTGAAAATGGATTCAACACTGCCTTCAGCTAAGGTATGACTTAACTACTTGATGCCAGTCATTGACAAGTGACGTGTTTTGGCAGTGTTGATTTATCAGTTAAATATATCAGTCACAGAAGTGATGCTTGTTCAGTTTGAGTGATGCTTGCCTGAGCATCTGTACCATCCCTTTAGGCATGCCTTACTACTAACTCGCATACTATGCTTGTAGTTAGTCTATCTCAGACTTAAGCAGTTTTGTGCATGGGTTATGTGCACAAAATGTTCAAAATAGGCTGTTTGTGCATTTCCATATCTTGTGAACTTTCCATCTTCTGTAAATTTTAACAAGAAAGAGAAAAGAGAGGAGAGCTGGAATGGTATCTCAGAATTGATCCTCAGTTCATTTAACTGAAAGAGGACTGGTAGGCTATTCCAACCGTCAAAAATACAGCATCCTGGAATCCATCTCTATGCACTTATATAACTTCACAATTTTTTTTTTTTTTTTTTGAACAGTTTCTTTTATATCTACTCTATTTCTTTTTCTTCCCTTTGACACATGAATGTTTTGCCACTTTGTTGGCTGCTTTTTTTTTTTAAAAAAAAAAACTATTGACTGTTTTTATTTTGCTTCTCCGCAGAAATCTACTTTTACTCACCTATTATTATTGCTTGCTTTATTGCTAGTAACAGGAATTTGCCAATCAAAATATCTTGAGAGAGACTACAGAGATTTCCTATATGTTAATTCATAAGTGAAGTACCTATTTTAATCTAGCTTTCTAAGTCTTTTATGGTGAGACTGCCATTAAGGCAAATATTAGGTTTTCTTTCCTTACATACAAAATGAAACATGGATGAAAAACTACAAGACAAGAACTTAAAAGCAGATATCTTACTAGCATAGGCTCACTCTACTCAAAAGCAGTGTCTTTCATAAATACCCAGAGTTTAAGCAAAAACTCTACTGTCAGAGTAGAATTCAGACTCAGGATAATATTTCACCGTATGTGACAGGTGAAGGCTAAGCTTCTGTAGATTCTGTAATAGAAACTTCTGTACTGCAAAGTATCTAACTCCATAAATGTTATCAGTGGCTTATCAACAGTGATAACACAATCTTACTGAATATACTTCCAGTTATGCTTTACTTTAAAAAGAGTTCTGTTGCAATCTTTCGCTGTCATCTAGTGTCCAAAGAAACTTTCTGCACTGTTGGGTGTTTACACAGAAGAATGAAATGCTATTTTTTCCTAATCTAATTTTTCCCAAACACAAGCAACAAAACAAAAAAAAATCAAACTATCAATAATCCCTGGACTAATTCCTGAAGTTATATCTAAAATTTGAATATTTTCTTCTCTCTCCATAGCTAATCGGATATGAAATTATCAGCTAAACATTGGCCAGTGAGGAAATAAGAAATGGAGAAGAAACCCACAGCTTTGAAAAATGGCAGGTTTGCAAATGATGGTTGAAGGAAAGGATGCTTACTGCAAAGATCCCTTTTGTATCTGAGCTTGAAGGGAAATGGAAAAATGTGGGCTAGAAAAAGGCACCATCAAAGTATCTCAGTACAATCAAGCAGGAGAGATAAGTAAATCTAGTGGGGAAAAATATTAAGGCATTATTAAAAATCAAACAAAATTTAACAACAAAGAACTGAAAGCTCATATAAAACTCTTATTTTTACTTAAATATGTACTTGCCACAACCATGTGATCAAACTCAGGTTTCATTTCACAACACTCACATAGCACACAAGATATTCTGAGAAAAGTGTAGGGTTGTGCTTACTTGTCCATAAGGAAACAGGATTAAAATAAGCTTCAATACCCTGAGATGTCGTTAATGTATTTATCTCCTTTGGAATTAGCCTCTAGTTATGGCACCAGACTGTGAAATGACAGACTTAACTCAGGGCATTCAAAGCCAAGATATCTATTCTTGAATGTAAGGTTGCTGCCAAATGCATATTGCCTATTTACTTTGTAAATATAGCAAAATATATTATAGTTAAATAACCTCTAGTGACACAAGGGTAATTAATTAACAAAAAGTATATTAATAGAAGGCAGATGGAAAAAAAAAAAAAGTAAGGATTTGCCTTTTTTAAAAAAATATCTTTTATGTATGCAAATATATAACTCAGATATGTAATCAATCTTAATTGTGCCATTTTATAATCTTGTAAGGATATAAAGTTGTTAAACTAAACTTTTGATGTTTACAAATCAGATTCAAGTCGCTTCAGAATGCAAAATAAATAAATAAATCAGCATCTTACATTTGATCTAAACTAGAGTGGATAAATGTTGCAATGACTTAAATGTTTATGATGAGCAGATCCATATTCATCTGCTCGTCCTCATAACATGGCTGCAATATTCTCAGTTGAAGCGCTTTCAGTGTTCATAAAATTTAAAAGTTAAAAAAAAAAAAAGCCTCTTAAGAACATACTTTAAAGTATTTATTTGGAAGTTAGTGCAAGCAAAAATAAACTTGCTGTTCTCAGATAAGGCAGATGCAGATTTTCAGCAGGTAAGGGAAATAAAAGCTTTAACCTGCTCAACAGCACTTTTCTCAACCTTTAAGCACTCTTCCTGAATTTATCAAGATGTAAATAACCAGCAGTGTTTATAGATTTCTGGCTAATGAATAAGATGAATATAAAAGACTAAAAGTCTCGCCATGCCCTTCAGAGAGGTCCATATGGCAAATGCAAACAACATTTGGAACCCAACAAAATCACACATCCGTGTGCCTTATTTATTATCCTGTCTATTGCCTTACCAAGTAACTAGTGAAATTCAAATAGCTTGGAGTTCTGAAAGTGTTTTAATGCATTTTCTATAAAGAAAACAAGTAATTCTATAAATCTGAATAGCAGTTTATTTGCTCTAAAATACCATGCCAGAGATGTCTATCCCATATAAAATACTGCTTTTAAAAAAAGAAATTGTTCAAAGATTTTTTTTCATTATAAAACAGTTATTTTTGATCTTTCAATATAGTAATTTTGAAGTAGAACATAACCCTGGAACTGTGCAACACAACCTTAGTATTTTGTGAAATTATGTCTCTGTTTATCTAGATACATCTATCTATGTACTGATAGTAAAACATTTTGAGGTAATGCCATATTAGACCTCTGAACTTTTTGTTTTTTGTTAGAATATTAGAAATATTCAAGGATATGCCCTCTTGCATATAGTAAATGACTTTCAGCCAACTTTATACTCACTGGACTGTAAAAGAAACAAAAGATAAAAGTCTTTCCTGAAACACTGCCTGAGCAGCATTCTACATGTTAGACACAACTCAGTAGTAATTCCTAATATCTAACTTCAGTGAAAAATACTAAAACAGAAAATTAATTCTTGCTAGATTAGATAGTGGAAAAAAACAACTAAGAAATACAAAATACATGTAGGGCTAACATGCAGGTTGTTAGACCACTTTGTTGGTTTTAACATATTCATTCCCTTGTCTGCTCTGGGATTGCTGTCCTACTCTATTTCCTAAGAATATACATATAATTTAAAAAATTCAAAAGAGGTGCAAAAACTTACAAAACCATGCATAGAGAGAGGACTGGTTCCCAAATATACTTCACAATTTGTACGTTTCAAGCTCTCCAGCTTTCAGAGCAAAACCTTTCTTTCAGCTAGAAAAAAAAAATGTGAAGACTAATGATGTCCCCTAGTGTTGCTTTTTCAGAACTGCAGTATAGTGCTGCCACAAGTAAACCACAGCATCCATGAAATAGGTAATTCTAGAATGTATTATTCAAGTGAGAGGCTAATGTACTTCATACTGTTGCTGGCTATGCTATAGACCGTCTGTAGGGAAAGGACTGAGCAGCGGTGCTTTCTAAGACAAACTTCATGCAAGGATAATGCTGTTACTGTGCCTACACAAATACTCCTGTTGCATATTGGCTTCAACAAACATAAGCCTGGACAGAATAAACTTAGAAACACAGACATGGTTAGAACAAGATGCAAATCAATTGCTCATTTGGGTTTGAGAAAGAACACAACACTTTTCTTTGGTAACACCACAGGTGTGCCAAGAATCACTGGCCTAAGCCCTATAGCTCAGACCTTGCTGCTAGAGCTATGCATGTATTTGATAAGTGGGATCGATTTATTTCTACTAAATATCAAAAATACATATTGCTTCAGAGAAATAAGAAAAAATGTATGTATGGACAAATTGCCACAGCAGGATGGCTTAAAAACACGAACATCCCTGGTGCATCTCATGAGAGGACTCCAGAGGACTTCATAAATACAGCTAGAGAGTAATGACTAAATAATCTCACCAGGTTCTTCCAGCATTTGGTGTGGTCATCTGACACTGAGGAGTGCAAAGTCTTTCACACTAATTCCACTTACGGATCTGGCTTCCTCTCACTTGTGTCTCACTTTTCTTCTTCTCTCTTTCTAATTACGTTAAGCACACTGCTGAGCTTACTCCTTACATCTGCAAGAGTGCTCTGTGATTTCCTTTAATTGCCTCCATTTAATTGCTACTTCCTGTGTCAACACAGATGTACTTGTTTTTTTTAGAGTGTGCCTGAGCAATACTCTAGCCACTCTATACTGCAATTGGAGATTATTTTTATTGTAATGCTATCACTAGGAAAAAAGTAACCGTAAAGCTTACGGTTAAAGGTTCTCCCTCTCTGTCTTTCAAAAATACTAAGCAAGCTGGGGGAAAAAAAAAAAAAAAAAAAAAAAAAAACAACACACGAATTTAAATTTATGGCTGTTTAGTGACCACCAGCAATGTTTGTCTCACATTCAGAGTGGGTGTACTTTGGTCAGATAAGAGGATGTATGTAAACCTATTGCATCCTTTCACCTAAATTTCGAAAGGTAAAATTAATGAGCAGAACTGATCTGAAAAGGTAAGTTCAAAGATAAACGTGGATGAAACGAGGTGTTCTTCCAGAGGGTTTATAAAGCAGAACAGAATCCCCAACTGTGTAATCTAGTGAAAGCTAGCACTAAGAGCCTATACAGATTCAATACTTATATGAAAGAAGGAACTAAAAAATTAAACAGCTGCAACAACAAAGATAACCAGTATCCTGTGTCAGCTCAAAAGGAAAGGGAAATAGATAACAGCAAAGTGACCTGGAAGTAACAAAACATCAGAAAGTGGAAAGCTGAAGTGCATAGCCATTCGAGGTAGATGTCACTTACACTTTTGTTCCCCAAATCCTACAGCTAACACTCAGCTTACAACAAGCTGCTGAACATCTAATGACATAAAAGTTCTCTACTAGACCCTTGCTATGGATTAACAATTTGAGTGAGTAAATCCAGGTATCTTTACCAGGAAAAAGCAGGAAAACTTCAGAAGACTAAAATGTAGAGTTCTAAGGCTAAGGCAATGTTTGAAATGACAAATGGATAAAACTAGTTAATCTACAGTTTGATGTGCCACCTACACCACAGTTTTCATCAAAATGCTAACAGCTCAATTCAGTGAAGACATCAGAATCAAACACCACCACTGATCCTTCTCTGAATGGTTCCATGAAAAAGGAGCCGTACCAGTAAGACTTCATTGACTCAGGTTATGTATTAGATGAAACAACAGACAGGCTACTTGCAGAAACTTGTGCCTTCACAGTTAAATCATGAACATGCAAAACACTATGCACAAATCTCATTTTGCATGTATGCATAAAAAGAGCAAAAACCTAAACCAGTCTTCAAGACAAGAATCCTATTCACAATTTTGATGGTGCTTAGATTACACTTTTAACATATTTTTCTTATTCTCCTACAGAACAAATTCCAAAGCTGCAAAGCTCTGAAAGAGGATTCTGCCAGAACCCACGCTTGATCTCATCAATGAATATAAAAAACCTCCTCAGAATGAGTAATGAATGCAAGTGCACACAGAACAGTCAGATTTTTTTAAAGTGATTTAAAACTTAGCTTAAATTAGTGTACTCCTACAGAATAATTTAAATGTGTAATTAAGAATGTTTGATAGGTACAGCCTCTTTTGGAGATGCAGAGAATAATCTTTCTACTTTATTCCATTAACTGAGGTCAATGACTAATTCAGTGAATTGAGACTCTGAAAGCAAGAAGAAAATGATTGTTTTGTTTCCACTTCATTCAGGAATAAAAATGAAAGAAAAAAAAAAAGCACTGAATGCTATAGCTTGCCAGGGCAAGGGAGAAAAGTAAATTCAATATGTCAATAAATAGTATTTTCTTTTCACAATCCATCTTCATATAGGCACAAAGTGAGTAGTATATATTTAGTTTAAGGATTCTATTAATTTAAATATAATTAATAAAATGTATTAAAGGAAGAGTTTCTGCATCTTAAATTTCAAGTTTATGTTAATAGAAAGCTTGTGGGTGGAGGGAGTTTGTAGGCTAATATAAAAAGGGGATATGATTTTTTTATTTATTTATTTTTTTTTAAACAAAAAAGAAAGGAAAAAACACAAGTTCCTAAATTGCTGACTTAGATCATATGTAATTATACTTTTTCTAGCTTTTGGAAAGATAGACTACACGTTAAAATCTAAATATGGAAGGAGTGGACATAGTCCAGAAGTGTACAAGTCTGTCTCAGGGCAGTCTCTAATGAGGGATCTTGCTGCAGGTAGTATGCTGGGAGCTGGGGTGACTTATAGCCTGGGTTTCCAGATGGCTACACCCCAAAATTCTGTCTCAGGTCAATTCTGCCTCTTGAATCTCCTTTTCTGTGCTGTTCCAGGGGATACAGTGAGTAGTGTAGCAGGGGCTGTGATGAGCTGCAGCCTCATAGGTAAGCCTACACCCCTTAGCTTACAAATTATTTCTTTGTTGTTACTGATCCAGGACAGTAACTGACACAAATCATGTACAGATGTGAACAGGAAGACCATTAAGTTTTTTGAACACTGTTCTGCAAATGTGGACAACATATCTTGTGCCATAGCTGTAAAATGAGAACAACAAACAAACAAAACAGTTTTCTAGAAACATGGGCCAAATAAACTCCTGCATAATTTCTTCAATCCAAATATCTGCTTATATAATCTTCCTTGTTTATAGGAATTAGACAACATTTAAAACTGTAAATGTATAATGTAAATGTGACTTAAGTGCTTATATGTATGTGTGCATAAAGCTGCTACAAATAAAATAAAAAAAAAAAGTCCTATTCACAATAGCATGAAATACTTAGTAATGCTAATACAACAGTGTCTTTATATAATTGCATATAGCATTACTGTTGTTCTTTTAGTGCATTACTTCCTCAGCCTTGCTGTGTTCAGCATCCCCTGCGTGTTGTGAAGAGGTGGTGGGAAAGTTCAGCCTGTGTCCCTTTCAGAGCTCCTCTTTTTGACCATTTCTGAAAGTATGTCCATTCTGACTATTTCATCTGAGTTTTAAATATCATTTGCGCATTACTTCTTGGGACCAAAACCTAATCTCATGACCTAGATGCTAAATTGAAGCCAACTGTTCCCTCATGCACAAACCTTGGGCAATAAACTCAAAAAATCGTGTTACTCACTTATGAATTCAAAATGTGTGTAGAAAGAATTACAGAAACATACTGGGAAGAGTCACATGATGTTCAAATTACTGGTTAGGAATGATCCATAAAAGGGCCCAGAGGGAGTGGCATGCTTTCAAAAATGGCATCAGCTGCTCCTGAGTCACTGACCATTCAAAAACAAATTACTGAGAGCTTACAGACCAGTCAGTGCTCTGGTAAAAAAAAAAAAAAACTAGTGACCAATCTGGATGTGCCACTGTGCCCTTAGTCCACAGTGACAGAGCTCCCAACTCACTTGCCCTTGTAGAGCAGCTCATTCATTTTGCTACCCAACTACAGCCACACAAACACAAGGTTGAGGAAATGGATCCCTTGATACACCTAAGGTAGCACCCCAAATTAAAAGCACATAGTGATAAACTCCTTCAACTTCCAACTTCTGATCAATCCAACTTCTAATCTATTTTACAGAATGTGAAAAAAAATGCATGGGTGACAGTATATGTTGAAAGAACAATAACCTAAACATGGCACAGTGCTTTGAAATGTGAAGAATTATCTCCTTTCCTTTGATATATCCTGGAACAAAATAATATTCATAAAATATTTCTTTTCAGGGCAGATGTACTAGATAAAATGTTTAACTTTGGTTTGTTATTGTTCAGACAGTCTCAGAAAAAAAGCCCTGTAATTAGTTGCTTGACACAAAGTCTCTTGGATTGCTTTGAGAGGAAGCAACATAATGAAATGTTACAAGAACAAGCCAGATCAACCTGCTCTGCTGGCAGCTCTTTGCTGACTCCTGTTTCTTCTTCAGTCCTTCCTGCACTGTGCTGAAATCAAGCTGTCCTGCACGTGCTGCCCAAAACCAAACAGTGCCTCAGTGCCCAGAGCCTTCCTTAATGCAATTGCTGAAAGCCTGAATTGCAGAGGTTGTCAGAAAACTACCAGGCCTAGTGGCACTGCAGCCTGTGTTAGAATACCTACTATCAGCTTCTCCTATTGATGTGCAACAGGTCACCTCAGTATTATCTCCTTGGCCAGACAACTTTAATGAGCCTCCCTGGTACTTTAACTAACTGCCTGAAAGGAGGTTGTGGCAAGATGGGGGTCAGACTCTTCTCCCAGGTAACAATGACAGAATGAGAGGGAACAGTCTTAAATAGCACAAGGAGAGGTTCAGGTGGGATATTAGGAAAAATTTCCTCTCGGAAAGAGTGTTGAGACACACATGGGCTGCCCAGGGCATGGTGGGGTCGCTGTCCTTGAAGGTGTGCAGGAAACATGGAGATATAGCACTGAAGGACATGTTAATGGGCATGGTGGTAGTAGGTTGATGGTTGGACAAGAAAATCTTAGAGATCTTTTACAACTTTAATGTTTCTATACATTTCAAAGTTGTTTTTTAACTTTGGTTTGTCCCCACTTAGGGTATGGACAGTGCTTGTTTTGTGAAGCTTTTCATGTTACAGATCACCCCATTGCACTCAAAGACTTTATGCAGGGGAAGAACATTTTTGGTGATACAGTAAGCAGAAGTTAACATTTGTAGAACTGGAGCTTGATCACTGGGATTAAATTAAATCTGCCTTGAATTGCTGTTAGAAACTTGTATGGTATTTCCCATTAAAACCAGTCTGCTCCTCTCAGTACCATTCTCAACTCCATTTACTGCTGTACTCTGAGATGAAAACACCATCTTTCAGGATGTGGGTAACTACACCATGCTTCCCAACAGGATGCAGAAGCCAGAGAGTGCTCATCTATCTGGTGCCATAAGGCACCTGGTGACACTGACAGGTGTCACTCAACATCCCACAGCAGCAATGTCTTCCAAGTACAAACACCTGGCTGCATAGGCTGTGGGTGCTTAGAGCTGTCTGTAACAGGACAGGCAGACAGGCAGCTCTTCAACCCAGCAGCAGGAACTTCTGAGGGCTCCCGTGAGAGCCAGAAACCTGTCCCAGCTTTTGAGAATGGGTATCTTACAAGCTGATGAACTAAAAGCAAAAGAAGTTAGGTGTAGGGCTGTGTGTGTGAGCCTAAGAGAAAATCTCAGGACTGAATTTTGTATACAGCCAATCTAGTTATTGTACTAAGTGCACTTGTCCTGCATGCTGAAAATGAGGTGCCATGTGCTCCCCTCTGCATTCCTCTTATTTATGTGTTTGCCTCGTAGGCTGGCTGTAGGATTGCACTTTGAATTCTGCTGTGCCATGACCTGCTGCTTATACTGTATGGAAGAGGTGCCCAATCTTTTGGCTTGCCTGGGCCACACTGAGTGAACAGAAATTGTCTTGGGACACAAACACAACGGTTGCTCCAAAAGTAATGCCTCTTGTGTTTCCATGGAACTGCAACTGATTCAAAGAGCACAATAGCGCTATTTGATAGAGCAAATTCTCAGCTACAAAACACTTTTTCAACACAGTCACCACCATTAGCTGTGCATTTTCACCAGCAATGAACAAGAGCATGCATGCCGCACTCATAAAAATCTGCACCAGTGGACATGATCCACCCTTGCTGTCACTCCTGCTGAAATACACCACCCACCACCTTACTGTGCTCACATCCACTGTTTCATCTCCATAAATGTTCACAAGTGTTGAATGGCAGAGGCTGCCATTTTTTCCACCAGGAGGAATTCAGTTCCACACCTTTGCTTCATCTGCCAGCGCTTCCATGTCAGATGCCATTCTGTCAGTGCTCCTCCACTGCCATCTGTCAGACAGCAACAACATGTAATGGACTGTTGGTGAGAATGTTCAACCTGTATTACCATGCCACCAGCATCTGCCTCTGATACTGTGGGCCAAGAAAATAAAACAGCAGGCATTACTTTCACGCAGCCCTCATAAAATATATGCTGTAGTTCATGTACATAGGTAACAAAAATCATTTTAATCTTTAGCATTTTTAATTAAAACAAAACAAAGCAAAAAAGACCAACAAAAACACAGAACTAGTGGGATATGTGACCCTGTTGTTGTGAAACTACCACATCAGTCTAGTTCAACGGCAGTGGCTGCAATTTTTAGTGAGCTCTCAAGGTGCTTGTCAGAGATTTTAGATGAAATTTTACTCCTCCTGTACTTCATCCTTGAAAACAATTGTTCACAAATGTGTGATAACATGAATAACATATGACTGTGAAGCGAGGATACTTTTTCTCTGGTAAGAGAGGGCTTATAAAATTAAAGAGACATGGTCAGATTTTTAAATAGAGCGTCTGATTGGAACTCTATATGGTGCATTAGAAAATTCCCATGTAATGTATTTATGTCAACTGAAGTTGCAAATATACCCCAAAAAAAGATTTTTTGCAGTCTTGAAACCTGTTCTCAAATTCTTTTATCAAAATGGAAAGCAAGACTGCAGAGTGTTTGCTGCTCACAGGGCTGCGTTTAGCCAATGAATGCATAAAATTATTAGCTATAACTTGAGTGGTACTGCACTGTGCCATCCCTGTGCCCTGGTTCCAGCTCAGACAGCGTTAATAGTGCACTGACTTTTGGCTGCTGCAGGACGGTGAGTGCTTTCCCAGGGTCGGGCCCGCATTGCCTGCTGTATGGTAAAGCAGTGTTGCAGAATGCGTGATCCGGCCATGTGTTGCACTTTAAGGGAATATTGTGCAGAACACCCCTAAAAACCACATGCAGTTCAGAGCGAACCTTCCTCACGCCTCTCTAATCTGCTCTCACGTGGCTAAAACTCCATGAGGAAGCCTGAAGTAAAAGAGAAACCACAAAGCAACGTGTGCAAAGTTCATTCTCGATTTCTCAGGACAGGCACGAGAGGCCGAATCACGGAGCAGTCCCACGGCAGGCTGTATCAAAGTCCTTCCGAGCCCCCAGG